ATATCGTAGACTTTTGCAAAGTGAGACAAAGCCTGTGTACAAGTAGTGGAAGACTCACCCTTCAGACGGCGCGTATTTGAATAGTTCCAAGTTCTTTCGAGGAGCACCTCGTATGACACGGACTGGTTTCCCGGTTGTACACGAGATCTACAACGGCATGGGTTGAGCTAATTTCGCGGGTGAGTGCGTAGAGCGCCAGTACCAGTAGAGCTTTATTCCCAAGCTTCCACTCTTGATCTGTGGCCTGGTGACTGCTCCAGGACTTTCAAGGTTCATATTTAGAAGTTACGTAACTGAGACCAAGACACAAATGTTGCTCACCTCTTTTCCCCGTAGTATATCAAGCTTTGAGGAATCAGTTTCGCGCCCACCTTTTGAAAAATACGTGAAAAGAGGATAGAAGTGGAAGATAAAAAGTTTACCCTGGCCTGTGTAGATGCTGCTACAAGTCAATTAACCTGTTAGAGTGGTCATCAATGCAGACATACAAAGTCTCCCCGTTGTCTTCATCGTCTTCGTACCCATAGGAGCTGAGGAAAAACGTCTTAGCAAAATATCATAATAAACTTGAATAGATACTTACAGAACCACTGAGTATGCGCCATCGACTTGATTTCCATGGATGCCTGATCTCAGAGGAGCATGCACACCAGCCCCAGATAGGTCCGCCCGATTTGCAAATCTGGACCCAACTGGATAGCCAGGTATCTCTCCAATGAACTTTCTGTGATGTTCATGATCAAAAAGAAATCAACGAATTGTTGTAAATCGAAAATACATACGGATCATGTCGCCCCTCTCTCTCGGATGGTTTTGTCCCTTTAAACGATGCTCCTTTCGAGACACTCATGCCCTGTTCCTTTTTTTTAAAGATGCGTCTTGAGAGCCTCAGAAATAGTGATGGCAGTTTTGAAGGTTTTAAACGTTCGCCACGCGCGGCGTTCTTTCATGTGGGCCAAGCCACTGGGCCAATGCCGAGCGGCTATCCCCGTTCGGACACGACAAACTTATGACTTCTGCTTACAAGTTAATGTCGTTTGCGCCCAAGAAGCAAGCAATGCTGTGGCAATTTCAAATAGTCGCCCTTTTTCTTCTAATTCCCTTGCTTTCTTCATCTTAGGTTTATGGCGTTTTTTGGCACCCCGATGGTTAACACAACGTATGATGTCGAGGTTGCTAATCCACCGACCGACTCAATATCCTCCATCCAATTTTCACTCCAGGTTGACTTTCTGGCTGCTGGGAGTTGGGACAACAGTGTGAAATATCATGGGTTTCCACTGATTAAATTAAATGCTGAATTCTACACAGGTACGCGTATACGAGATCGGTGAAGGGGGTCAGTCACATGGGAAAGCCATGTTTGAACACACAGCTCCTCTCTTGAGCGTGTGTTGGAACAAGGTATGAAGTGTGATGGCACGTCCGATAAGCTCCTTACTTACTCTCTTCCCACTTCGGCAGCAGGGACAAGTCTTTTCTGGAGGGGCAGACGGAGCAGGAAGAATGCTAGACGTCGCAACAAGCCAGGCCATGCAGGTGGCGCAGCATGACGCGACGATCAGCGTTGTGAAATGGGTGGACTCACCAGGATCTGGTGTATTAGCGACCGGCAGCTGGGACAAGACGATCAAGGTGTGTCTTCACTCTTCACTTTGACCAAGGAGAGCTATCGACAAACTCTACTTCTACTAGTACTGGGACCTACGCCAATCCAACCCTGTCGCTACTGTCAACCTGCCAGAGAGATGCTACTCCTTTGATGTACAGTTTCCGCTCATGGTCGTCGGAACTGCAGGTCGTACCATCCAAATATATGACATGAATAATTTCCGCACTCCCTACAAGGTCTGAGGTTTTTCACTGAATACACCGTGTGATTTGACTCAATAGATGTATTCAGAGTATCGAGTCACCTCTCACAAAGCAAACGCGCGTTATAACGTGTTTTTCGGATTCAAGCGCGCCCGGTTTTGCAATCGGGAGCGCTGAAGGAAGAGTGGCCATTCAGTGTGTATATCTTCTTATTTTGTTCTGATAAATTCATCAGTTACAGTTACATTGAACCCAAAGATCGCAAGTAAGGGCTCTTCTCTGGACATCCCTTCGTGCATCCCTCACATCATGCCTGTAGGCAACCCTACGCCTTCAAATGTCATCGTCGGGATGTCGCTCCAAATTCCAAAAGCCAAAATGTATTCCCCCTCAACGATATATCCTTCCATCCCATCATACACGGGACGCTTTCAACCGCAGGTCAGTACAGTTCAAACTTCCATCCACTCTCGTCGATTCAAACTGAGTATCTCAGGCTCCGACGGAACGGTGTGCTTCTGGGATAAAATGAACGAGCACGTCTACTCAGTACGTCCTATTTTTCTGCATTATGTTTCATCATCAACACCTAATCCATTCTACCAGCCTTCGATTTGAAGTACCCGATCACCAGTACAGCGTTCAACCACAACGGTAGTATCTTTGCGTACGCGATATCATATGATTGGTATAAAGGGCATGTGGGTATGGTACCCGGCCACCCAAACAAGTTAATGCTTCACACGTGTAAGGACAACGAGGTGAAGTATAGACGAAAGTCAGGGTAGTCGTACGTTTTCTGCATTTTATTCTTGAATATTCAATGCGAATCACCAGGCTGGACGCAGCGCTTCGCATCACTGTACATATAGTGTTATATATCCCTTGTATTTTTAGCCTGGACTTGTGATATTCAATCTTCCACTTTTGTAACCATATGTTGTAAAGTATACTTTCCTCGCTGGCTCTCAGAACTCGTCACCATCAAAGAGATAAACTTAACGATATATAAGATGAAAACATTCGACAACACAGATACAAAAAAACAACCACACGACGCTTTTAACACGTCGCCAACTTGCAAGTCAGGTTTGAATTAACAATAAAGAATTTGCACCATGACTAAGCTTTCCGTGCTGGCCGCTTCCTGACCTCTTCATCTTTACACGAATGTAACATGATCTTGTTGGGCAGGCCGGGGGTCATGCCAGAGTGTCCCTTCGACCAGTCATACGAGATGGCGTATGCGAAGATGTTCCCATTGCGGTTGAAGGTGGTGGTGGAAATGGGGCCTGCTGCGGCCTCGAAAGCTAGATGAGCGTAAAGGGTTAGCATGGTCGTTCGCGTCATGGAAATAGGGACAACAAACTCTTTAGCCGGGTACGGGCATCTTTGTCCCAGAAGTGGATGGTTCCATCGGATCCTGTGGCATATTATTGTTAGTGTGAGGACGAGAAAATGGAAATGAGAAGCATACCGCAAGTCGAGAATGTTCCGTGGACAGGATGGAATGAGATGTCATTCACTGCATACACTAGGCCTTGGTCTTTGGAGTTCGGAACGTTGTCGCGACGATGGCATTTGAACGAGAAATTGTTCCTGGACAAAAGCGATGAGAAAAAGTCAAGAATCGGCGTTGTGTGGCTCACCCAGAATCTTTGTCTTCAACATATCTTGAAATGCGTCAGCGGATACCATCTAGCACGATAGAAAACGACTAACTGAATAGCCACTCTGCCTTCTACGCTTCCAACGGCGAATCCGTTATTCTGAGCAGCAGTGAAACAAGAAACGACACGCGTTTGCCATTTGAGTGGGGAGAGGAGAGTCTAATCATCGGAGGCTGAGAAAAAACTACGATTTAAAAGAAAGACAGTAGACAAACTTTGTATGCAGTGTTGGGGTTAGTAAGATTAAATATCTGGATATGGCGTTCGGCCGTCCCAACGACCATGAGGGGATATTGGACATCGAAGGTGTAGCAGCGCTCAGGCAGTGTTACCGTCGCAACTGGAGTAGGATTACGCAGGTCCCAATACTGATTGTAACGCCAAAAAGGTTCAAACAGAACTGCAAGACACAAAAGAAGCACGTACTTTGATAGTCTTGTCCCAGCTCCCTGTAGCCAAAAGCCCTGATCCCGGCACGTCAATCCACCGTACAACTTTGATTGGCGCGTCGTGCTGTGCGACCTGCGTAGCCTGACCGGTAGTCACGTCGAACATGCGTCCAGCATTGTCAGCACCCCCAGAGAAGATTTTGTTTCCCTCCTGTTTCGAGCACGTTTGAAACACGCAGACGCGCCAAAGGACGTAATCGACGCACCTTGTTCCAGCATACACCCAATACAGGCCCCTGATGCTGGTACATCGCCTTTCCCTGCGACCCACCGCCTGCTAGGACCTCGTAGATTCGGACCTATAGATGTTTTTGATGAGCACGCGACGAGATGTGGAAGGAGTTAGTAGACGCACGCTGTTATCCCAGCTCCCTACAGCAAGGTAATCTGCTTGTCCTGAGAATGACATTGAGGATATGGAGTCGGTGGGAGGCTCTACCAGCTCGACATCCTTGTCAGCGGCTGAAGTTGTGCTTGACGCGGTGGCCGTGTTCTGTGCCCCGAAGAACGACATGTTTTCAGGAGAAAATGGACTCGCGTCGTTGTTTAAATCTTAGAGTGGGATTGGATGGTAGGTACTGGATAAAATGACCAAACTATCAGGTCACGGCTGAGTCCAAAGATATTTTGGTCACGGTGATGGCACACTAGGCTCGGCACCCTTTTCCATCATCATCTTGTAGACAACAACTGTTCTCCAAACTTTTCAATATCCATGAATACACCCGGTGAATTCAAGCAAGATGGTGGGTTCTTTATTAACCTCTTCCGGCGCGAATCATACTCGTTCTCCATGTACGAATTTGTGGTCCTTCATGCCTTGTGCTCTCAACCGGCTAGCGATCTAGCATTCCCGATCGTAATTCGCAGTCAACGGGCTCCTTACTAGTTGGGAACTCTGCCAGGAATACCTGTTGTCTAGAATAGCATTCACATTGTTTTTCCTTTGAGATATATGTCGTGTTCCGACGACAGATGGAGGCTTTTACAGTATTTCTAATTCTCTTCCGTACACCACTTTCAGTATACCAACGTCCCTTATCTATATTCTCTCAATTTTTCATGTGGCCTTGTAGTCTAGAGGTACGATACTTGCTTTGGGGTTCAATTTGCAAGTGGCCTGGGTTCGAATCCCAGCAAGGCCCATCCCGGGAAAAAGGCCATCGTCTAGTTCCTTTTTCTCGATGAAACATCGAGAATGGCAGATGATTTGCATGTATCTCGTAAAGACCCTCGACCATCTGAAAGCTTAGTGTTTCTTATTGTAACATGCTTGTGTTATACAGGCATTACGTTGCGTAGTAATACAAGTGTCTGGAAAGCTCTGGTAGACCAGCTGAGTACGAGTCCGAGACGTGTTGAATGATTTTACATGCTATAACATTCGATGCCCAAGAAGTCAGGAGCGTAGGTTTGAGATCTACAATGATTTCATACTGGGAGGAAAAACGTCAAGACCGCGGCTAATGAAAGAAAACGAGGACACCATACCAAGTAAATTATGCAACGCAATGACGACAATCCCGGCGACAGCAGCAAAAGTGGAACCCCCAGTCAAAGGTATCACGCTACCATTATCCCTACTTTGAGTGGTTGTCGTGGTATTATTCGAAGTCGAATATACACTCTCAGGAAGGATACTCGCAGGTGCAGTGGGCTGTGTGCCTATTTGACCGTTGCCTACGATGACCACGGTCCCAATACTCGGGATACCTCTCACGTTGACGAAAAGTAACGCCGGTCCTGGCTGGAAAATATTTGGGTTCGGTGCTTGAGCGACATGTAGTGTAATTGAGCCGTTGTTGTTAACCGTAAAGGTATTGTTGAGCTGGAGGTGGCGCTGACCCATATTCATCGCGTGAGTAGAAAAACCGCCACGGACGATGACGACAGTCGTATTCCCTGCTGCATCGTTTGCTGAGCCAGTATATGAGCTCTTCGGAAGGGTGATATCAAAGTAGTATCCTCCATAAGAGATGGTTTTAGGGACACCAGATGGAACCGGACGTGTCTTGGCGTTGAAGTAAGGAGGATAGAAAATCTCGGCTGTGTACGTCGTGGGGAAAACGGTGCTCAAGTTGACGTCGGCGTTGGGATTGGAACCAGCAACGAGGACTGAGGCGTCGGGTAGAAGGATCGCTGAAGAGTGATACAGACGGGCTAATTGAGAAGTGCCGAAGCCTATGTTCGACCAACGCGATCCTTTTGGCGCGTCGGGGTCATAGATAGCCGGGGTGCCTACTGGACCAGACGAAAGCGACATTCCATAGGGCATATTGCCGTAGGTGGCAGTCTCTCCTGTCGCCTCGGCATAGCCAGCCGTTCCATTCAGACCTCCGTTGATCACGAGCATCTTTCCATCAGGAAGGGCAATGAACTGGCCCATGGTCCGCCCTTCGGGCATGTCGTCGTCTGCCTCGTACGCGGGATTTGAACCATCTGGAGGCTCCGGAGTGAGTCGTTGACAGTCCTTGGAAGCTGGATATTCCCAAGTATTGATATTGGGATAGGCGTAGTCGCCCCAGGCATAGTCAGGCATGTCGGATCCACCGCAGAAGAGGACGGTTTGGGTGTAGTTGTTCTTGGGCGTGAGGGGGAGCATAGCAACTGCACCAGACGCGGGATAGACACGCGCCACGTTGTTGGGCATGTCCGGAAGGGGAATTTCGACGTTATTATTATAATCCCAGATAACTGCAGAAATCCTGAATTCATTCGACTGTTACTGGTAGAATAAACCTTACTGGTTGATACGTTTGCCTGAACGAGCATCTTTCCGGATTTGAGAAGATATGTGTGTGCGTAAGAATTGAGTCCTGAAGTCTTGATCATGAACTGCATAGTAGTCGCCGTGCGTCCATTGGCAGGATAGAACTCGTATGTCGGCTCAGCGGCGCCGCCCTCGAATTCGGGGTCGACGTTGGGATAGTTTCGATTGACATAACCGCCATTAACAAACCCCCCTATCAAAACCACGGACCCGTCAGCGAGCGCCTCAGCAGCAGAATACCACCTCCTTTTCTGTATCGATAGGACATTCGGATCATCGAACCACTGACATTTAGGGGAGGAGAACGAATCAGAGTTTGTGCATGGATTTAAGATCCGGATAGCCTTAGTGCCATCGAAATCTTGATACTGAGAATCCCAAGCACCACTCCCAGCTGAATTGCGTTGAGATCCGATGTTACCCCCTCTTCCAACGGCACCGTTCCCACCAAATGTCACCCATGATCCGTTGGGGAGGTGCATGCCCGATGCACAAAAGGTGTTGCTTACGACATCCATGACGGTGGCCTGTTGCGTGGTGATATCCCTGTGCATAAAGGGGTTAAAAGGGGGAAGAAGAGGGGTATCTTGAAACTCACCAGACTGCGCCCCACGCTGGATGCCCGTTGATTGTTGCAGAATTTCCTTCGGCCTTGTCCAAGATGTACACTTTTTCATCATTCCCAAGGAACATCTGGAAACGTTCAATGGAGAAGGTGGCGAAAGAAGATGACTTGATTCCTCACCATCATTGCGCTAACGAGTGTATTACCTACTTCCACAAAAGAGCCTGGCTTAATGCCCAGAGTAGGCAGGCAAGCCAAGGCCAGCCATAAGGAAGCCCGCAAAATCATGCTGCAAACTGATCTGGAGACGCACTGAAGGAATAGGAGTGGCGGTATAGGGACTAGGGGTAGTTTAGGGGAAAGAAAGACTTTGCGGGAGAGACAATAAAAAGGAGATGATTTCTCAGCGCGATGGAGCGCAGCTTGTCGCAGATGAACACCATATATTACGGAATAGCATATCTATCCGCTTCACGACTTTTCGCTTTCGCCGTAGCCAGGAATAGCTCGATCGTTGACGGTAATTATTCTTAGCGCGGCAGAACTAACAGGGAAGCGGGCAAACAATGGCTTCAGTTTCACTTTCGACTGGTCAATGAGAAAATCATACCATAGGCTGAAGTCTGTGTTGATCGTCCTCGCTTTTTCACACAAAACTCTTTTTTCCAAAATTCCGGCAATCTTGACAGATTAAGGCCTCTGGTTGTCGATCGAGAAGGTTTCAAAGCCATAGTTAAGGAGTAATACATCATTGAGGGTTCCCGATGGAAAGACAGGAGAAGAACAGGGTAAAGCCAAGTCACTTTTTCTGCACACCGAGCCGATAAGAGTTCTGCAGAAGAACATATTGGGCACGATTGTACTATAGCCGAGCCTCTTCGTAGGTGCAAACTCTCTCAACTTATGTCCCGTCACGTCCTACGTAACCGATACGCGAACATATTTTTGCTATTGTGTTCATTGAGCAACTCCAACCTTTCGAAACAGGAAGATCGGTGAGGACTCTGAAAAACCCCAGACAGATGTACTGATAGCTGTATCTTGACAACTCGGCGACGGCAAGGACTGTTCACAATACATTGGTCACTCGATGAGAAAAGCCAATAGCATACCCCTCCATGACGAACATCTGGACTTCAAGCTTCAAGCTCCAAATCTTCAACATAAGGATATGTATGTCGAAAAATTGGACCGAAGATTCAAGACGGACCTGGTCGTGTTAGGACCCCGACCGGAGAACCGCGAGCCAATGGGAAGGACGGCTCAGGTGCCGTGTCATAATGAATGAGTCGCCCAAGTTCCAACAACCATAGTACGTCGTATCTAAGTACCCCCCTGCAAGCGACACGCGCTAAAATCAACACAGGAATCCTGGGTGAGTACGGAGAAATGTAGAGCAGAACGCGAAGAAATACGCGTGCTTGCAAACGACGCGAGGAAAAATATTTCCTCAAATACTTAAGGCCCAGCCGCTGTTTGACTGATCCATCCGTCGAGATCTCCATATATCAAAAGCGGCAGCGTAATAGAACAACTGTCCTCCCGACAATTGTGCGACTACCTTGGAACCAATCGTCAAACCAGCCCATTATGCGAAGGAAAAAGGTTCGGGGCAGTACAAACGACCCCTCGCGTATGTGACCTTCCTGGTGCATTCGCCAAGTCACACAACCAAATCGATCCAAACAGACTCCCACTTACAACACTGTCGCCGCCGCCGCCTATTGTCTACCTCGTCAAGAAAATTCAAGACGTGCGCAACAATGACGTCCTCTGAGGCATAGAGGGATCGAACGCAGCACCCTCACCCTCTGCTATCTAAACGACTTCTGACCCATCTTACAACGTCGCGGTGATCAACAACACTATTTTTGAGAACATCAATCTACGGGAAAAGTGTGAAAGGGCTGCTGAACTCGTGCAGGAAAGGCGAGACATAGGCTTGACTCTACGTGTTAAGCCTGCCGATGCTTCGCATCTTGTGGACTACTTGGACTGGGTGCATCAAGCCTGTCGCTCTATGTCAGATTCACATCGTGTACAATAGGTTTTGTCTTGCAAAACCTGAAAATAAAGGGCTATTCACTTGACTGTATATACTTACCTCGCTATAAATTACAGATTCGAACGGACGCATCCCTCGCCTCTGTCTTTCTCCCCACGTTCATCGACCATGTATAGTTGTGGTGAGAGCCTCAGTCGTCTCAACGCTAATCCCATTCTTGACCTGAGCCCGAACCACCTATCGACCGCTCGCAGTCTCCATATCACACCCGCGATCTCTACGAGCTGCCCTGGAAGACTCCACAAGCAATCTCTCATGAGGACCGGCGGGCAAAGAAACGTCACCCATTGGTTACCCGTCTTTGGTGACCCCAGGTCCCCACCGCCTTTGTTTCGTGTTTTTGTCACTTCTTCAGGATGATGGGACCACGTCGAAAACTGCCAGATAACGGCGGGTTAGCGTAATGGTTAACGCGTCAGTTTCCGGTTCTATTACAACCAGCTGAAGATTCCGGGTTCGAGTCCCGGGCCTGTCGCTTTTTACCTTCTTAGGAAATGGTTCTACATCAAATTTGAGAGCGATTCCACGTCGGATAGCCTCAAGAAAACAGGATGTTGCTTGAGAAGATGCACCTAGCTTGTAATAACCCGGACATCAGCTATGCCTAAAGTGTGGCGCTGATATAATTACCTCAGAAATTATGTTCAAGCTCAATGCAGACACAATCAAAATCTCGACAAAGGAAGAAGCAAAGGATTCCCAGGAACCAGTGAAATCAGGGTATTTGGGAAGAATTACTCACGATACAAGTTCTATCATAAAATCGAGGTGTGGCGCTGACAGAAGCCCCTTTCATTTTACATTTAAAGAAAAACTGCAAATACGTAAGAACGTTCGTACAAATTTGATCATATAAAGGGTGCAATTTTCGTGTTATCCGTAAAACAGAGTCGCGTGGAATGTTCAACTGTGACGATATCATACTTTATCACAAATGGTGAGGAACTCTCGGGTACGCTAGAGAGCAGCTAACGTGCTCGGTACTTTACACTGTTGCAGCGTCATTCAACTCGACAGTCATAATCCTGATCAAGTCGACTGCGAGTTTGCGGAGTCAGTCTTTAATCTCAAAAGCTCGTGCGCTTACGCTTATAGATCTCATTCGAGTGCTGACTCAACGCCTTTTCTCCTTGTTGGACGTAGTCTGTAGCGAAGCTGGCAGAAAAATTCGCGAAGAGAAAACTTGTAGGCGACTCGTAGGTAAGAGAGGCCAGTTGCCACCGCGAATTTGAGGTGAGTGGCCTGTAATACGTATCAGAGCCAGAAGTAAAGGGAGGCATGGAAATCTCCTTTGTTCGTCATGGTTGCGAGATGATGCCGGCCTTGGTGTTATGGACCAGGAATCGTGATGTTCGAGTGAAAACCTAGAATCTCTACTTATGAAATCGTGAGTGTAGCTAGGTATCCGACCCGAAGAATAACGTTACGAGTGATATTAAAAACCCTCTGGTGCTAATTTCAAAGCCCATAGTGAAACCGAGACTATATCTGCCCTCCGAGTTGCCTGATACACACTGCACACGTCCAACGTCACGATTTCTTATATCGACTGAACGGCGCCGTCGTCTGCGGGGCGTATGATGGGAAAGGAGACCATCCGTAGTACATTGTTCTCTCCGATGATGATTTTAGAGGGCTAACGTTAGAAAAGGAATAGGATTCCCAATTCCGTGTATATAACATTTCTCACCTATGCCGAAGAAGTTTGCATCGCATCTCAAACCTTTAACGTAAGGTCGTAATTCGAAGTTGTACAGGTGCAAACACAAGCGAAGGAAGGGACAGAGTGACGGTGGTGGACAGTTGCAGACTAGCAATCACGGCAACAAAAAAGGAAGTTCATGAAAAGCCTGAGAAGGAATTGAATAAGACAGTGCACGTCCTCTCATAACTTAAAGTAGACATGTCGTCAAGAGTGAGGTACTGCGTAACGAGAGAATGACCATATTCGGTTTCATTAGGACCAAATAAGTTCAATACAACTGGCATACGAATTGCGTTGGTGAACGCATTGATTGGTAGTGAGAAAGAAGGCGAAAGTGTCCACAAATGTGACGAGGGCCCGAAGATTATGATAGACTCGATCACTATATGATAATTGGCTTGACTAGGAAGGGTCTGGCCTGTAATGAGCAGTGCAGTGGATCAGGGAGCTACATATAAAGGAAGAGGTTGTGACCCGGTGACGACAAGTGATTGCCAGGCTCGGATTGTAGCGTTTGAGAGTCACGGACAAACAAAGCTCATTGAGTCTTTCCCACTGGCACAACACTGAGCTTGGTAAGTCGTCCTGCCGTCGACTACCTCGGTCTAGAGAGCGTAATCGAGAAACAGATGAATACGTTTTTGGCGGTGACAATGGCATGGGCTCGGCAGGTGTGGCTCTTTTAGGACTTCGAGGGACTGGTAACATGGCCTGTCATGCGCATAGATGCTTCATTCAGCCCTGATACAGCTTCAAGTTGCCGGAATAGGTGTCATTGACATGTGGGCGATCCGAGACTACAAGGAGGGCAGGTGTGATTCCATGTCTTTTTGTCTCTTGTATTTTAAAGTTTCGGACACACCGACGGCACTGCCTTTTTGTCTTTGGACCAATCAAATGGCCGTCTTGACAACGGTGTAGATCCCTTTATTCACTCGGTCATGGCGGAGTGGCAAGCCACCACTTTTGTCCTCCTCCCCATGTCCGCAACAAAGACCTACGTATATATCTCCCCTTGTGACAACTACGGAGTGATTTCCTGCTACGCTCCTCCGTCCATCTCATGCACAGCGTCTTTCTTGCGAGATGGCAGGCTACTACTCCTACCCATATTACTCATATCCGCCATACCCGAGTTATTATCCAAACTACACGGGTTCCTTGTGAGTACCACTTTTTTAGCCTTGTATCGCTCTCACATATCAAGTAGGGCTCCTCCCCCTTATTCCACCGGCTCAGCCCAACCCTATGTTATCCTTCCACCCTTGAAAGCCACAGTTGATATTCCCCCGCTTCAGGTTCCAGTGACTCCATACTATTGGGATCCGAACAAACCATATAAGGAACCAATACCTCCCTCACCGAAATCAAAAAAATTCGACGTCCCCGACGGTCCTGAGTACGATTGCGGGCACTATAACGATCAATCTGTCTTCCCGAACACATACGAAGATCCAGAGGAGAAATCTCAGTGCAAATCTCCAACGTTGTCCAGAAAGAGTTTCACCACGAGGTCGTTGAGATCGTATGGAGCGGATCTACCTTTTGATTCGTTAAACCTTGCTCCCCGCCCTGCTTATTGGAGGCCTGATTACGTTCCACCCCATTCTGCATCTAGAAAGCGGTCCTTTTTAAGGAGAAAACTGGTTGGTGAACGCTACACTCCGTTGACGGCAGGCAGTCGCACAAATTACACTCTTCATGCACTGATACACTACACTTCTTCTTCGACCCATCCTCTTGCGTATGACATTCGACAAGATCCACAAACGATCGATATTCAGTACCTCAATCTTCCACGACATTCGAACAACATCGATGAGTATCAGGTGGCCACGACACCGCCCATGCATGAACTACATTTATACCATCGCAAGCTACCGTGGACAATAACCGTCCGAGCAACACAGACGAACGGAATTACTATTGGTGACATCTTTGACCAAATTTACGAGAACCTCTCCACGAGAGTCACTCGACAGGAGTTCTACAATGTTGTGTTGAGCCCTTCCGATCGTGAGGAGATGACGACGGCGTTTTACTACAGGGGGGGCTTGCAGACGGACAATGGAATGTTGCGTATGGATTTCCTTGTTTTTGATGTGGTATTTCTGGGACTTGCAAAGGGAAAGAACGGGCTTCTGGAGATTAAGACCGGTCCGGCATCACCGCCTTGAGACCAAGCTTTCGCATGCTTATGATATTTCAATCAGTCGCCTTCGGTTTCGTCATTGGCTTAAATATGATGTTATGTATATGTACATTACCACTGTACTTGTCTTGAAGTAGTATTTTACTGTAGCACCGCAAGTTTATTAATGTTGGCTGGAATATCTCTGCTTCCGTGATATAATTCATCTGAAAGTTCGTTCGAAAACGATGTCGGCGGATACCTCTACACGGTGGCACTCTAAGTGATACTCTAGTCGAAAAGCAGACAAAACTTGACGAAGGAGTATATTAATCACGCTCTTTGTTCCCTCCAGCTCCCATCTAGAGAATCTTCCACCAAAAAGTCATACCAGAACAATGCAATAGGGGCCGTTGAAAGATGCCACAGAGCATGAGCATCAATGACTCTACCCCACGGTGGGAAATCAAAGAGTTCCAACGCCGTTGCCGCCGTTGTGAGAGTCACGAATACCGCTGCTTTGTACACATAGTCGGGCCGATAAGATTTGGGTTGAGAGGGAAACCTCTGAAAGATCGATATCGGAAGAGCATATATCAACCAAAGAACATTATGTGTGAGACCGACTAAGAGGTTGAATGCCATGTTGTAGGTATAGTCAAAGCGCGGAAGAAGGGACAGGTACGAAACATGAGCCACGTAAGCAATGATACACAGTAGACACCAGATCCGGTATATTAACCGAGTATGTTGCAAGGTGTTTGAGAGTGTCAGGCGAGACTGGCGTGGATAGAGGTGGAACAACCGAACGACAGTGTAATAGAGGGCGTAAAGGATGGCAAGCGCAGCGGAAAAGTAGTCCAATTTCTCCGTGATCGGGAGGTCTGTATGATGCTCGAGATGAGACAAAGCGTATCATCTAAGCTTGAACTGAACTCGCCTCGGGTATGGAATACAGATGACCAAATCCACGCGTTAATGCTCGCGAAGGACCACATCAGGTAGTAAGATCGCATGTGATGAGTTTTCGGTATACGTTTTTGCACTTTCTGTGCGCCTTGAACATGATACCAGAGGTTCAAGAGGGAAAACGCGACGGAAGCTGGTTCCTGCATACCAGCAAAGCGCCAGAATGGCCACTTTCCGTAGTATTGCTGCACAAGTGCTCCTTGTTGTATGTCGCGGTTCGTTATCTCATGCATACATGAGTATTTGCAATCGTCCTCGCACGTCCATCTCGTGAGTCGCAATGCCAGGGGTAAAGGATTAGTATGGGTGGTTGATTGACAATGGTTTGTGGAACAAGAATTGACACACTGCTGAAACTCGGGCGACCTGTCTCCAGAAGAGGCTAATACGACTCCACAGAGAGTTGCTATAAGGGCGAGGAGCCCATTTGTGTGCATACGGAGACAGTCGGTAGGAAGTAGTAAAGGCGGCGGGCGTGTACAAACTTTGTACCAAACATCTGAATCGGTGAGTCGGCTTCATGACAACGTCGTATTTTGGATATTCCGTCAATACCGGTAAGCACACGCATGTCGAATAATGGTACTCTACTCCAGATTCATCACCATTCAGAAAGTACTGTCCGGCGTAGGCTCCGGCTTTAATTCATTACAAACTCAACATATTCTAT